GTCACATTATAACGCCCCCGTAGCTGAAAGGGGCGAGCATGTTTGGTGTGACGGGGATTCGAACCCGCGACTCGCATATTGCGAGTCGAGCGCTCTAACCACATGGCCATGCCGGGCCAACAGCAGTCATTGCGCCATTGTTAGAACAGACATTGCAGAGCGTTGGTAAAATATATATCGTGTTATGACATTAACAGCTATTGAGTAGTTTATAGCAAAAAGCTTGGAATTTATATTTTTCTATTTTAATACACTTCGTACAACCCGTGGAATTTCCGTACTGTCGCTTCTTCCACGTTTTGATACGCATACAGGTTTTAATAATACTGCATACTTCATATTCCTCTAATACCAACGTAAGTTCTTTTTCTTTCAATTCCTCTGTTTTTATTATTAAATTCTTCGCCGTTTCAGCGGCTGTATTCTTCTTAACATTTGATTTTGTAGCAGGTACGATTTAAATATCTTCTTCGATTTCGTCTTTCAGTGATTCTTCAATGTAGAAATTGACATCATTGTTGAAATTCCATATGAATAACTTAACTAATCTGACGTCTTTTGTTTTTCTCCATGTACAGTGCAGTGGTGATCGCCTGCGGTGCTTGTTTGAGGAAGATATTCAAGACGATTTCTCCATATTCAGGCTAGTGCGGAATAAGAAAAAGTGGTACCTTGGATTCAGCACGCGAGGAAAGCCGCTGCCAAGCAGAAAGTTCCGTCGAAAACGATTTCGGAAATGTTTTAGATTTATGAAACGAGATAATGATTTCTCCAGCAACAGGAGCAGTGGGCCTAATTTAGGAAATAACACCAATCTTTTTCATACTTTAGCAAACGAAACCCTCAGTAGAAAGCTGTGGTCAAAAACAAGAAGAAACCAGCGTTGGTATTCCGGATAAGTAAAATAAACTATGTGAATAGAAGAGACGTGCGCCCCTCCCCTTTTTTCAGGAATCCCTTTTTTTTTCTGTCACTTGGTAGAAAATATTGGACGAAATCGTCTATGCCCAAAACGTGGCGCTGGCATTATAGAGATTACCATATGGTGCTATAACAATATATATAGGATTTAACACTCGGATCGTTTCATTCCACAGTAGAGAATAGTCTGTTTCACATTCCAAAAGAGTCACCTAATGGGAGTCAGAAGTACTTTAGAAGGATTTTAAACTTTGCTGTAGATATTGTTTAAAATTATGTTTAGAAAAAGAAATATTTAAAATTTATTGAAAAATTATGTGATTTATTTTTGTTGTTAAATTGAAGACTGTGTTTTACATAAAATCAGCTAGAAAATGACCGTATCATACAAAGGTTGAATGGGGTATAAAACGAACTGTGAATAAATAGTCATTGCCAGTCACAAAAGAAATTTGTAGAGAAGACATTAGCGACCTCTGTTGAAGGCCAGTTTAATATTTCAAACTGTGTAAAATAGAATAATTTCTTTACGAAAATGTTAAATGGAAAACGACTAAAATTCTTCTAAGACCAAATGTTAAAAACAGTTTTTCCAATATTACCAGGTAACACCGTTAATCTATTTTATTCCAGGTAGAAAATAATACATACAAGAGATTATTAATAAAAGTTCTTGTGTAGTTTTGCGCGAATTTCTGAGACAAACAAACACCTTTAAATTTTACGAGAATAAACGTAACATTTACACGATATTAGAATCACAATATTAATCAATAAGTTTACGAAAATACAGTTCAACAGTGTCATCAGGTTTCACCATGCTAAGTTCAAGATATCAAGTTTGGTTCCACAAGATATGTTACAAAGTTACAGTTCAACAGTGTCATCAGGTTTCACCATGCTAAGTTCAAGATATCAAGTTTGGTTCCACAAGATATGTTACAAAGTTACAGTTTAACAGTGTCATCAGATTTCAACATGTAAGCTTCAAGATATCAAGTTTGGTTCCACAAGATATGTTACAAAGCTACAGTTTAACATTTTCATCACGTTTCACCATGTAAGCTTCAAGATATCAAGTTGGAGACCATGATATATGTTACAAAGTTACAGTTCAACAGTGTCATCGGGTTTCAACATGTAAGCTTCAAGATATCAAGTTGGATACCATGATATATGTTACAAAGTTACAGTTTAACATTTTCAACATTTAACCATGTAAACTTCAAGATATCAAGTTTGGTTCCACAAGATATGTTACAAAGTTACAGTTTAACATTTTCAACAAGTTTCACCATGTAAACTTCAAGATATCAAGTTTGCTACCACGAGATATGTTACAAAGTTACAGTTTAACATTTTCAACAGGTTTCACCATGTAAACTTCAAGATATCAAGTTTGCTACCACGAGATATGTTACAAAGTTAGCAGTTTAACATTTTCAACAAGTTTCACCATGTAAACTTCAAGATATCAAGTTTGGTTCCACAAGATATGTTACAAAGTTACAGTTCAACAGTGTCATCAGGTTTCAACATGTAAGTTTCAAGATATCAAGTTGGATACCATGATATATGTTACAAAGTTACAGTTCAACAGTTTCATCAGGTTTCACCATAGAATTTATGCGTAGCTAATGATGTCATGTAACATGTTAATTATCGAAAGTAAGCTGTCAACATGAGTAGCGACTTACAGGGCTTTGTTGCTACATATTGTAAGATTTTGGTCGACATTACCATAAGATAACGTGTTTGTTTTACAGATGTTCCATCAGAAATTACGATTTAGCAGGAATGCTAATTTTGGTTATAAATCTATTAAATGTTTAAGTTGTGATTTTTGAAATTTAATAATTAATTATTTTAAGTTAACAACTTTGTAGTGACATTTTTTTAGGGATGGGGACCTGATGACTTGATAGAAAACATAAACAAAACATTTAAACGGTATCAGTTGGTAACCAACTACTGGCTTCTTTCGATCGGAATGTATTTCTGTGCATTAGAGTACACGTGTCATTGTGATTGGTAAAGTACATCACTCTTTGATATTCTTTATAATTCTAAATTATTCTTCTCAAGTCGTGTAGGTAAAGCTAATTGGTTGTAAAAATTACAGTGTAAATAGTTTTGTATTCATATATTTATTCAGAGCCTTGTTCAAGAAATAAAATTTGCGTTTGTTTCATTTAACCTGGTGGAGATGTGTATTGTTTGTACTAGAAAAATAATAATATGTACTAAATGTATATACGCTTGAAGTTGGAAGTTAAAGCGTAATGTTCTTACGGTATGTCTTGCTTCAGTTAAGACGGTATCGTTAACATAACGTTGTTAGGGTGTGTATTGTTTTACTTAAGACGGTATTGTTAACATAACGTTGTTACCGTATCTCTTGTTTTACTAAGACGGTATTGTTAACATAACGTTGTTAGGGTGTGTATTGTTTTAATTAAAACGGTATTGTTAACATAACGTTGTTAGGGTGTGTATTGTTTTAATTAAAACGGTATTGTTAACATAACGTTGTTAGGGTGTGTATTGTTTTAATTAAGACGGTATTGTTAACATAACGTTGTTACCGTATCTCTTGTTTTACTAAGACGGTATTGTTAACATAACGTTGTTACGGTGTGTATTGTTTTAATTAAGACGGTATGGTTAACATAACGTTGTTACGGTGTGTATTGTTTCAGTAGAACAGGTATTGCTGAAACGATGTTCACTGTGACGTAACTCGTTTTGGGAAAAATAACTTATCACTGAAATGATGCTTTTTCACAATGACAAACACCGACCAGTTGTTACAAGCTACTGTAACACACAATTACAAAATTTTACAAGCTACTATTTTACGGTATCCGTACGGCACTTAGTAGTCAAGTTTAACAGCTAACTGTATCAGTGTAATTATGTAGCACACAGTGACCAAATGTTACAACTTACTATATCGATATATATGTATTGAATAAAGTGGCCAAGTGTTACAAATTATTATGTCGATGTATATGTGTAACATACATGTGTTACAATTTGCTATGTCGAAGTATCTGTGTAACATACATGTGTTGCAATTTGTTATGTCGAAGTATCTGTGTAACATACATGTGTTACAATTTACTATGTCGATGTATCAGTTTTAACATAGTGACCAAATGTTACAATTTACTATGTCGTTGTATGTGTGTAACATACATGTGTTACAACTCGCTATCTCTGCGTGCAGCGAGTCACTTTTATGATTTCGTCTTCCAAAGAAATAATTTTGTTCAGGATTCGTTATTTAAAGATAGGTTAATTATGATATATCTCTGGTTATTAATCATGGGTGACTTTTTGAGGAGTGCATCCATGTAAACATCACATTTCCTTTGTGTCTTAATGTAATCTCTAACATCTCTACGTCATTTTTAGAGTTTTTCTTAAGTTAATTACTCGAATATTATAGTGTTCTAGATGAGCCCGTCAGTTAAGAAATAAAAGATTAAGCCGCAGCCTCGTGAGAAAGCGGAACTTGGCAACCTTTGCTATTGCAACCTTTGCTAGTAAGCAATTTAGCAACTTTATTAAATTAAAGGGCAGTACTTGTGCACCTTGAGGAATTTAAACAAGGATCTTTTTGAACCTTGTGAACGACGCACGTGGTTAAATGGGTATAATTGACAGGTTTAACAACAACGAATAAATTCTTCTGAAGCGAGTCGGGTCTCGTCATGGATATCATAGTAAAACGGAAAAGCCTGTCCGCCACGCCTTGCCGTTAAGTCGGCAGAACAAGCTCAAAAACCATGATAATTCACCCCTCCCCTTAGTAAGAACTGACGTAGATTTATTAAGTTATTCGAGATGTTCTTGGTTGGCCTTCTAACTTCTTTTTCTTTTCTTCTTCTTCCATTTTATTTAAAGTCATAATTGGCCTAATTTTTCTGGTATAAAACCGGATAAAAGTGTTAATTCAAAACTGATTAAAAAACACGTTCACAGTTATGGGATGTCTTCTCTATATGACAGAAAACGAACTTAGTTAGAGGCAGGACAAATAAAAAAAAAACAACAAAAAAACGTGGGTGTTTGACAGTGCGATTGTTAGATCTAATCGACAAATTAGATGGCCGGGCATGGCCAGGTGGTTAGGGCGCTTGACTCGCAATCTGCGGGTCGCGGGTTCGAATCCCCGTCCCACCAAACATGCTCGCTCTTACAACCGTGGGGCGTTATAATGTGAGTCAATCCCACTATTTGTTGGTAAAAGAGTAGCCCAAGAGTTGGCGGTGGGTGATGATGACTAGCTGCCTTCCCTCTAGTCTTACACTGCTAAATTAAGGATGTCTAGCGCAGATAGTCAAAGTGTAGCTTTGCGCAAAATTCAAAAAACCGAGCCAAACCAACCAATTAAACGTTACTATGACGTAACGTTCGTTCATATTTAGGGCAAAACTACCCACTTCTATTTTCGTAGACTCAAAAGGATTATGGTGTAGATTACAAAGTCCATTTAATTGAATACGGATTATGATGTAGGTCCACGGCTCAAATATATTAGTATATTAGGTCGTCAAGAAATTAATGTCGCGTTTTGGAACACTTTCATTAACCACCCCCAAAATACGTACATCACGTATAATAGTTAAACGAACCGCCTAAACGTCACGTTAGTGTAGTCTATATAATGTGTAAAGTTTAGTGTACTCTAACTCACATTAAGCATGTAATGCTATTTGAATACAAGAAGGGAAACAACGCCCCTGTAGCCACAAAGAATATTAAAGAAGTTTATGGAAATGTTTTAAACACATATAAATGTCAAGAACGGTTCAGCAAATTTCGTTCAGGTGACTTAAAACCTGTGAT